ATCCTCAAATTATTGTACACGACTGACCAGTTGGTCCTCGGCTCCCAAATGGGCAATCCTCCCCCTCCTCCCGCAGCAGCAGGGTGACGGCTAGTTGAAGATGACGTACTTCTTCCCCTCGATCACAGGCTGATCAAGTTCCCCTCGTCTCACTCTGGATGAGCTGACACTTCATAATACTCAGAGGGGTTGGCAGCCCCAACTGCACACTGAGAACTAAAGTGTCTGCCCACTGTAAACTAATAAGTCTCATCTCTTACTCACCAGCATGATAACTTAGGAGCTAATGGGGGAAGACCTCCAGGTCTGGGAAGCAGAGGATCTGGGCTCGATCCTGAGAGGCTAACAGCAATGTGACCTTAGACATGTCACTGGACACCTCTGCACCTCTGATCTCCTGGCTCTGACATGAGGGACAATATAACCCTTGCGTTGTTCTGAGGATCCAGTGAGAAAACACGATGAGACCACTGGAGAAGCTGCAAAGCACCATGGAAGTGTCAAACAACCAAGTTTCCAGTCTAATGTTCACCTGCCAGCAACTTTAATAAAGGTTTTTTCATTCAATTTTTGTGCAAAGAACCTAAAGTAAAAAAATGTGAAACACATCCATAATAATGTGTATTTAAAAAATCATAATTATTAAGGATTCTGCAGTTTTGATTAGAGATGCTTTTTTATTAATTTTTTTTATTTTTTACTGATATGTAGTTGATTTATAATGTCAGTTTCAGGTGTACAGCAAAGTGATTCAGTTATACATGTACATACATATATATTTTATTTTCAGATTCTTTTCCATTATATGTTATTATAAGAAATTGAATACAGTTTCCTGTACTATACAGTAGATCTTTGTTGTTTACCTATTTTATATTCAGTAATGTGTGTAGAGATGCTTTTTTAGAATTAAGGTTTTAGCTTTAGTCCCAATAAATTACAAGCCCAAAGAGCATACATTTAGCATTTTATGTAAAAAAGAGGAGAAAGAAGCAATAGGATAAAGAAGAGAAGGAGAATTTGAAGGGTATTACCACAATATAGGCATCATTTAATAAACTATGAACTTAAAATGAGGCCTGTTTTAAACCTGATTTTCTTTTCTAATGAGTATTCAATTAGCTGCCTTAGTTCCTAGACACAAAGCCCAGAGCTGCCCTGTCCTGGCTGGAATCAGCTGCTGCAGAGTTTTGCAGAGTAGAGAAGCATGCTGGGAAGACGAGGTACAGCAGATCTGCCCTGTCTTACCGCCCACTGGATAGAACACAGAGAACTGAAACATTAGCAAATAAGGGTTTTCAGGGAGACAAGAGTTGCTGGCAAGTCAATACACAACTGTGGTAGCTGACCCATCAGTGGGTCCCCGGAAGTCCTTTCTCACGCCTGCCTATATTCTCATGAGTTCCGTCACCTGGTCTCCAGGTCCACAGACGTATAAATCAGCAATTTGAAGGTGAGTGAGAAATACAGATGACAGCAACTGAACAAAGAGGACTGGTTTAAGGAATGCCCATGAGAATTAAGAAAAAAATCCAAAAACATCCAAGTCTTTTCACGAGAGCTGAGTTATGCAGTGCAATTCTTACTGAGTTGTTACCAAAGTTCAGTGAGACTCGCTATCTTATTTTCAAGACAAGAGGGGAAAGTATGATCCATTTAAAAAGGTTTCCATCACAAATAGTTAATGTGCATTCTTAAAACTTGGCTATCTTGAATAACCCACTCCCCGAGGGTTCCAGATTATTGTGGTTTTTACTGTAGTTAGATAGTTTTATGGTTAATGTACTGTGGTATAAATAAATATAGCTTAGCCTAAATGTCTCCACTGAAAATATGTACATCATAAAATGACAAATAAAATAGGTCAATAACCAAACCCATAGTAAATAATTCAAGCACTGAAGTATACAACATTAGAATAAATGAAAACTAGCCCTCTTCAACACTGACAATAAATTTATTCCAAATGGACTTTTCAAAATGGAAAACTAAATGTCCAAAAGTATATGATGAGAAAGGAAATATAAAATTGCTAACTTATAACCTTTTGATAAAAGCTAAATAATCACATACTACACTCATAAGAAGAGGCTGCAGGAGAATAAACCTAGCTTATGCATCTGTGTGATGATCAGGTAATAGTCTACACCATTCTTATTTGATTTCACATTGTAATGACCTAGTAAGTGCTCAATAAATTGTGTTTATCTGAAATACAGTTTACAAGAGGTCTGGTTGTCATAAATACAAGATGCAAGATATCAGGAATATCACCAACTTTTCTTGGGGGTGTTTAAACCTCAAAGACATAAGGAAAGGGAAAGAATTTGAGATTTTGAAGGAAACCACTCCACTGATGGCTATGAAGCACACAATGATTTTGACTGCATCTGGGGGCAAAAGCTACTGGGTGAATAATGTCCCATACTGGTTAGTTTTCAGAGTAGGAGACTGTGGCTAACCTGAGGATACTTCAAACAGCACCAGAAGATGACGAGGCCCACGTCCAAGTTCCACCCTCACAGCTTCCCTGGCACAAGCATTGCTACTAGGTCAACCTGTTCAGTCAGGCACAAAAGATGTCCTGATTTGTGACTCTGGGGAACAAGAGTCACAGGGTGACCTCTGTGGAGCCTCTTGGGGGTATGGGAGGTGACAGAGGCTATCATATTGATAGCAAGCTTCCTTCACCTGCTGCCCTGGTGCTGATGCTGTCAGGGTTTTAGTAACCCGACTCTTTTGGATTTTAATTTACATGGCTATCTGGTTTTAGCATTTTACAGAATATAGGACCATTTGAGGCAGGTGTATTTACCTTTAGTGTCACTGGCCTAATGTATGCATTGCTGTATTGTCTGCCACTCTATTAACACAAAGATAGTGAGGTGGGAAGCCCCATGAAAAAGACCAACAGGACCCCCAGGCAGGGCCATTACTCTCCTGCCACCACCATCTGGTTCCCTGGCCCAGTGGCATTATCTCACTTTTTGCCTCTGAAACAGTTTACTTCTAAGAAAGTGGAACTTACCCCTAAAATTCTATTGGTTTCCTGAGCTAACTCCTGATTGGTCCATTTGTAGTGCTTTATTTGCACGGAGCTCACTACTGATTGGTCCATTTCTACCACTCCTGATTGGTCCATTTTTCTCATTCCTGATTGGTCCATTTCTACAAAGCATGTTCATAATTAGTCATCTTTGTTATACCTTATTTGAATATGATGTTACAAAATGTTGCAAAGTCTAGACTGGTAGCCTTTTATAGGTATAAAAGGCTGTGTAAACCTACAGACAGGGTCCAGAGCTTGGAGTGTTAACTCCTCTGAGCCCGCCAGCATAATAAACCTGAGTTCTCCCAACTCTTCGAGTGCTGCTTGGTCTCTTGCCCAGATCCAGGTTGCTGTCACAACTGAGCTGTAACACACGTTGCTGCAACATTTTGACATCAGTAACTTTGCAAATTTTCCCATAGGCTGTGAATCCTAGACAGTATAGTAGGCCATGGACATGGGCATCATCTCTGCTCCAAGGCTTACCCCAGTTTATGAAAAGCTTAAGTCCACTTTCCAGGTCCCAAATCCACATAGCCACCCAAACACAGGAAGTGCACTAAGGATACTACCAAACCGCTTTATGGCAAGGTTTTAGTTCTCAGTTCACAGTAGGAATCTCATGTGTCTATCTCATAGAGACCTGGGTTAAGGTTTAATTTCACGAACTTCCACATGTTCAGTGTAGGCCATGCATCTTTCACTCCACTGGTAAAGGGTGTTTCAGGCTGCTGCAACTGACTGGCAAGTAGGGACAGATGACTCATTGTTTATGCTATTTTGAAGGGGAAAAAAAATCTAAGAATTTCAAAACTATAAAGGTAAACTTAGCAAGGCCTCGAAAGGCTATTTAGAGACAGGGCAGAAGAAAGGGGACATTTTCTTTCCTTTGAGCAGAGGTGGGCAAACTACAGCCTGTGAGCTAAATCCAGCCTGCAGCCTGTTTTCATAAATGTTACTGGAACACTTCTGTAAGAGTGTCATTGGAACTCAGCCACACCCACTTGTCCATGGCTGCTTGTGCCTTGCAGTGACAAAATAGCTGCAACAGACATCGTCTGGCCCACAGAGCCAAAAATATTCATTATCTGGCTCCTTGAAGAAAAAGTTTGCCAAGCCCTGCTTTAGAGGCTGTCTCTCTGAGAAGGATGGGAACCCCAGGAAAGCTGCCTCCATCATGGAAAGCTGGTCTTATCCCTTGATATTGAATGGCCTCTTCTCTGGTCTCCCCCAGCCCTGAGGCATTCAGATGCAGGTTTTAGTGTTATTTGGTAATTCCTCCTACCTAATGGCCTGAAACGCCTCCCCCTTTCCAGCTGTGAGAGGCCCAGTGAAGACACAAGGACATGAGATGATCAGAGGTGTGGCTGAATCTCTAAGTTCCCCTTCCAGCTCCATGTTCACTCAACATTGATTGAGCACCTAAGCCCACCTCACCTGTGCATTTGACATCAGATGCAGGAAAACCTCCAAGACGATGACGTTAAAAGATATGTGGGATTTCACCAGAAGAGAGTGAGAGGAGGGAAGGCCTTCCAAACAGAAGAGGCTGCTGATGCAGAGTCCGTGCATATGCATAACAGAGGTACAGAACAGAGGTGGCGGTGCATGCTGTGGTCTACTCTAGGAAACCCAGCTGCTGGGAGAGAAGGGTGCACAGGCTGGAGTGGGAAAAAATGATGCTACAGGGACCTCTGGTCAGAGGGTGAGCAGCCTTATGAATGGTGCCGAGAAGTTGAGAAGTGTTGGGCAGGAGGGTGTCTCCAAGGATTTAAGCAAAGACGTGCCATGATCTCATCTCCATGTTACAAAGGTCGCTCTGATAGAGGGGTGAGATAGTACGGGGTAGGGTATGTCTATGCTCACCCACATGCCACTGTATCTTCCCCACCACGTCCACTCTGAAAAGCCCTAATCAGTTTGACCTCCTTCCCCAGGGATCTCAGCTCACCTTCTGGATAACTGCAAAGATGGTGTAAATTCCCACCTCAAATCATCATGTTCTTGATTGCCTCCTAGTCCCATGCTTCTCCACCTGTAGTGAAGGGCCAATTGTTTATTGCTGTTTTGTTTTGTTTTGTTTCTAATTTCCAAGATTCTGCAGACCAATATTTTTATAAAACATAAAATCATGCACTTGGATATCATGGCAATGTCAAATTACTCAAGTTTCTAAATGCTTTCTCTCCTGGTATTTATCTTGTCACAGTCGGATAAGGTGTGTTTGTGGACTTTCGGTTTCTGGTCCAACATGTAAGGAGCTTAGAGGTCACCAACTCCACTCTAAAACAAATAAAAAGCTGAGCAAACTGAAAAATCAACCAATCTTTTGAGCTCCATAAGAGAAGTGAGGTTACAGGGCAAGTCTCTGACCCTAAAATTCTAAAATTGGAGAGAGACAGGTGACTACAGAAAACCACAACTTACTGGATAGAAACCCATAAGCAGGAATTCCAATGCATGAGTTCCAATGCTAGGCTTGGAGAACTTGATCTATAACTGATAAGTTGCTAAAGGCTCAATGTGGACAACTCTGAGAGACAAAAATTCCAGGCGGGCCCAGTCATAGGGCCCCACACTTTTGTGAATTTCAGCTGGATGATATGAGACATACCAGTGAGATACCAGTACACACCTATCAGAATGGCCAAAATCCAGACACAAATACTACCAAATGCTAGTGATAATGTGGAGCAACAGGAACTTCCATTCATTGCTGGGGGGAATGCAAAACAATACAGCCACTTTTGTCAGACAGTTTGGCAGCTTCTTATAAAACTAAATCCTCTGACATATGATCCAGCAACAGCACTCCATGGTATTTACCCAAAGGAACTGGAAATTTATATCCACACAAAAACCTGCACACAGATGTTTATAGCCACTCTATTCATAAGTGCCGAAACTTGGAAATTACCCAGATGTCCTTCATTAGCTAAATGGCTAGACTGTGGTATGTACAGACAATGAAATATTATTCAGCATTAAAAAGAAATGAGCTATCAAGCCATGAAAAGACATGGAAGAAACGCAAATGCATGTTGTTAAATGAAAGAAGCCAATCTGAAAAGGCTACATACTATGTGATTCCAATAACATGATATTCTGGAAAACACAAAACTACGGAGATAGTAAAAAGATCAGTGGCTATCAGGGTTTGGGGGAGGGGAGGGGTGAAGAGACAGAGCAGAGAGGATTTTTAGGGCAGTGAAACTATTCTGTACGTTACTATAATGGTGGCTACATGTCATTACACGTTAGTCCAAACCTATAGTATGTACCACACCAAGGGTTAATCTTAATGTAAACTATGGACTTTGGGTGATGATGTGTCAACACAGGTTCATCAGTTATAACAAATGTACCACTTCGGTGGGGAATGGTGATAATGAGGGAGGCCTTGCTCATGTAGGGGCAGGTGGTATATGGAAAATTTCTGTACCTTCCATTCACTTTTACTGTGAATCTAAAACTGCTCTGAAAATTAATCTATTAAAATAAAAAGCTTGTGGTCTACTACAGTACCTGGACCACACCTAGAGTTGCACTGTGGACTGTGGCCTTTCCAAGCACAGGGACCTTGATTCCTCAACCCTGTGTCCCCAAGTATCTCTGATAGTGGGAACAGACTAAGGTGTGGGATTTGAGAGGTTTTAAAAGGTAGACTTGATCTAACCTGTAGACATTATGAGAGTAACACTGATCTGATTTGGTAACTGGAGTGAGAGTGATGCCATGAATCAAGACAAGATGTTCAGAAGGGCAGAGAAAGAAGGCCCAGGGTGGAGAAGACAGAGGAGGGGCGATCAGGAAATGTCTTAACTGAAAATCCGAGACCAGGGCTCAGGCAAAGGGGGCAGTGCTGATGCAGAGGGCAGCACCACAGAGAGCAGGTGGGAGGGAGGTGGCCAGCAAAAGCAAAAGCAACACAGTCAAGGGCCAAAGCACTTCAGAAGCCAAGGACACTGTTCCATGCGCAGACAGGTTAAGCTGGGTGAGAACTGAGAACTATCAGGTCTAGACAACTTAAGATAACTAGAAAACCAGACTGCATGAGGATGAATGGAAGATGAGAATGGAGAAAGCTAAGAAAAAGACACACTTCTACAAACCCAGCTTTCTGCAAGTTCAGCAGTGAAGGAGGGAACTACTGGGAGTGGAGCTTAGAGGGGGAGGCTGGGTCTGGAGGGAATATTTTAGAATGGGAGCAATGGAGGAAAAGAAATTGAGTGAAGAGGGAGAATTTTAAAATACATAAGAGAGGTAAGAAATCAGGAGAAAACAAAAAAGAAGAAACAAGAGGTTGACTACACAGTAGCAGGGATGCCCATTCCCCTGAAAAATGAGGGATCGTGTTAAGTTAGGCACAGAAAAGGTATAGAAATAACGAACTGTGGTTTGTTGAAAAAAATGATCTCATTTGGCTTTACAGTCATAAGTCTGCCTTAGTGCAGCTTCTGAGAGGATGTCATTTTCAAAGTCAAAATTTCAAGGCAGTACCAGGTTCCAATTTCCCTCTAACTCTAAAACCTGTGTATTCAGCTTCAACTTTTTTGTCCTTGCCCTTTTGAGCAAATGAGCCATAACTCTTTATTTCTTAGCCACTCAAGAACAGCCAGGAGCCACTGTCCGTTTATGTTCCAGTCCCCTACTTTGAGGAACAATTCCACCAGCCCCACCTCAACAGACAGAAAGTCAGGGAAGCACTGAATCCTTTCTTGTTTTTCCTTCTGTGAACATGGCAGTGCCCTCTGGAGGCATAAATGTTCATTATTATGGGATTTGAGAATCGTAAGTTGTCCTCACGATGTATATCAATTATATTAAATGGACACAGACAGACATATCATAAAAAGCTACCTTCAGGATTTATAATCTGCCAGTTAAACTCTAAATTCTGTGAGAAAAGAACCATGCCCACTGTGGTCTCCAGTCTGGTCAATGCTGTCCAGTACCCAGTACCCAGTACGTGCTGAGTAAGTGCTTGTGGATAAATGTCGGAGGTAATGAGACCCAGATAACATTACTTACTAATCACTTAAGCACATGTTGTAATCCAAAATCATCAAGTTTCTAAAAACAAAAATATTCCCCAGTGCTTTTTTCCTGGAAATGTTTTCCCCCTCCCTCTCTATCTTTAAATCTCTCTACACAGTTGATATTTAGTATACTCAACTCCCCAAAATGTTTAGGGGGCAGCTAGAGCCGGGAACACTCTTTCATTTTCCTTCCTTTATATCCTTCTAAGCCCCATCTTTTTTAAAACAAACACTGCTCAATAATATTGAACAGTTCATCTCAGATTTGCTTTTCATAGGACCATTAATGGTTGTTATCATTTAATAATGAAAGAAAACACATTTCTTGAGAAATCTGCCTTTCAGAGAAAAGAAAATGGACCAATATGAAAGAATAGACTATGTTCCCTGCCTGCGACTAGATTGTGAGTTCCAGACTCCCTGGATATTCTACCAGCGCCTCAAAACCACTGTGTCCTCTCCCACTAGATCTGCTTCTCCCAGGTTTCCTGTCTCAAAACCCTGGCACCACAACCTCCTTGTTGCAGCCATCTGGACACCCTCGTTGCCATGCTTTTCCTTTACCCCCACATGTAACCAGTCAGTCACGTGTCTTTTTATTTCTAGTGTCTTAGTATCTCCCATCAGTCCATCAACATCTCTTCTTCCCCTGGCCACTTTCTCAGCTCCAGCAACTGTTCTCACACCTGGATAGTTACTTGCAAAAACCACCTAACTAGTCTCTCAGCATCCAATCTTGCTGGGCTCCCCCGCACTACCACGGGAAGTGATATCTCCCCAGCACAGCCCTGAGCAGATGAAAGTATGACCAAGTCCAAGCTGCTCTGTTGCATTGGCAGCCAGGCCCCTGCTTACTCCCATCTCTTTCCTACCTTCGTACACACCTCTCCTGCTCCTCCCAAATCCTTGGAGATTCCCCAATGCACCATGCTCTCCCTTGTCTTTCTTTGTTCGTCCTTCCTTCAGGGCTCAACCCCAATGCCCCTCTCCTCCAGGAAGCCTTCCTTGAGTTTGCCCACCCCCTGCTGGGCTTGGTTGGGGACTGTGCCCCTGTGATCCCACAGCATCTGACCTTTCCTTCTCACCATGCTGTGCTGAAAGGTCTGTTTATGCCTCTGTCTCCCTGGTAGGTGCTTCATTCCAAAATTACAAAGGCAAACTGTTCACCATCTCACCTCCAGGCCTGAACCCAAGGCCCACTTTGTTGAATTCAGGGAACCCTGCTGTATTTGTATTTGATTCCCTGGATTTTTCACAATGTTAAAACACAGAAGGTATGCATACATAGTAATGAATAAATGGAACCTCCTATTGGTTAAAATTCAGTTCTGAGATTAACATACTTTAACTTGCTACTTGTACCCATACTAGGAGCCTAAATGTCTGTATGGTGCATACAGATGGCAAGTCGACATTTATTTCTGACATGTAGAGAATAAAACATTGTGAAGAATAGGGTTGTGATACAAGCATGTGCAGACTGAATTTCCAGAGTTGGGGATAAGCATCCTCAAGTTGGCAGAGTTTGCTCTGGAGTCAAAAGATCCTGATTATCACTTACTAGCAAGTCATCTCATCTTCCTGAGATGCAGTTTCTTCACATGAAAAACAAGTCTTCTCCAGCTTCAAAAGCCTGCAAGTGGAAGCTGCGTGCTATTTTTATGCCTTGAGTTTGAAAGGTGTTTTGAATAAGAAGGCTCCTGGAAAAAAAATTAAAGAGGCTGCTAATGTGTCTGCAACTGACACTTCAGTGTATTCATACGTACAGTTTCAAGATGGCAGGTAGGGTAAGGCAATTTAGCACTAAGTTGTTCTAAAAACATTTTGTGGAGAAAATATATATAAACAATTATGGGCAAAATTATAAAGTGCCTGGTATTTTAAAAGAATACACAGAGAATACAGCAATCACAGCAGAGTCAGGAAGTCTAGTGGTAACCAACCTATGATTTGCAGTATTTGTAAAAAAATTTTTTTTAAACTGTCTAAAATAGCACCGTTTTTTCTTTTCTTTTTTTTAAACTGCTAGATAAATAGTATTACAAGATGATTCCACAATGCTGGGCCATTATATACACTCAGAACTTTTAAGTCACCTACCTAATGTAGCTCTTTCCTAAAACACAATACATTTTGGCCTCCTCATTGGCAATGGCTTATAGTTGGGGACACTGGAATCCGTATTATTACATATAAAAGCCTGAATATCTTAATTTTGATGTCTTTTATAACCACTTTGATAAAACCTAGTATTTATATAAATTTAAAGAAACTCTAATAGTCCCTTAGGTTTCGTCCTTCTTCCAAGTTCCCAAGTTAAAGGGCTTCAGTCGTATGAGAGCTTCCTAATTTAGCCTCCTAAAACTGGATGCATATTTAGAAAAGGCTCTCAGCTCTGTTACTACCTTGAACACTTGGAAAAAAATGCACAGAAATACTTGCATTTTCTTAGGGTGCCCCAAACAGTTTCTTAGTAAAGCCACCGGCTCTATATACCATCTTACAAATATATTCTTAATGTAACTGTTATCTTTATGTGATATTGTAGTTTTAATTTTGGAACTCTTCTAAAAGAACTTTGTTATTTTAAGCCTAAAATAAATTTAAAATTTTTAAAGTATCATAGTCTTACAGATTATGCACTTAAGACATCAGAAAAGTACAGGCTATCTTATTCCTTATCAAACATAAAAGGAGGAAAATAATATTTTGTTTTTCACATACACACATGTAACCAGACTGAGCCTCATAACCAAGATACTTCCAAGCCCTAGTTTTATAAGGAAGGGTATCCATTTGTTTTTTCAAATCCACATACTTAAATTCAAATATGACTCTTAAAGAAAGTATGCCACATTTATGGTGAGTTCTTAAAACACAGGACTCTGTTAAATATACTTTGGTGCAGTGACATCCCCTTTAGAGGCCCCAGGAAATTCGGACCAGACCAAATTGCACCCCACCTCTAACAAACCACCCTGCAGCTCACTTCCCTCTCCCCGGGTGTCCTCGTCTCCGTGTCACATAGATGCTCCTTCACAACTCAAGCCTGCTGTTTTCTGTAAAGCCTGTTCGGGCAGCTTCAGCTCTCCTAGTCTCTCTCCTAAATTCTGAAGGTTCTCGACTTCTAGGAATACATAATCATGTTGGTCTCTATCTCAGTTTCTTTCCACTCCTCCTGGCCCCCACCTGACTCCCCACATCCAGCCTAAGAAAGATGAGAACCATGTAATCAGGGCCTTTATCGCTCCTCTTTACTGTCAGGGTCCCAGTGCCTAGAAGTGCTACAGCAGGGACGCTTCCCTTGCTGCTTAATGATGAGTGACTACTGGTACCTAAAGATTCCAAGTGTCCATACTATCTTTTGTCCAGGTCATTTTTAAGCACAAGGACTATTTTATTATCATATGTCATTTATATCACTATGGTTATGACCACAATGGGCTAAACAGTAAACTATATTTGGAAGCATTGCAAGATTAGGGTCCCCTGAGCCTAATGCCTCACTCAAAACATTCAAAGAATTATAACATTGACTTTTGTCGGAAAGATTATTGTAATCGGTTAACGACATCCAATGTTTCTAAAAAAAGAAATGGAGCTACATCTTCAGTGAGAGTTCTAAAGTCAGAATATATGATGGAAAATCAGAATAAATCCTTGAAAATCCTTTCAGTGGGTCTCTTCCAAAACACAGCACACATCGTGGGGAGGATATAGCTCAGCGGTAGAGTGCATGCCGAGTATGCATGAGGTCCTGGGTTCAATCCTCAGTACCTCCATTAAAAAGATAAATAAACTTTAAAAACCTAATTACCTCCCCTCACTCAAAAAATAAATAAATAAAACAAATAAAATAGACCACACATAGCTATTTTGTACGTGCCTCAATATGTCCAGTAAGTATACCATAACTATAATTTCAACCAGGGCTGGGAACAGAGCTGCTTCTTCCATTAAGCATCATGTGAAGTAGTTGCATTTTAGAGGCCATGTACTGGGAAAAGATACTTTTTATTTTTTATTTCCTTCTTTTTCTAAGTGCATGTAATTGAATTAAATGGACATTGAATGTAATACCACTGAACACAAAGTGTAAAGATAATGAATTACCTCTACAAATAAAAACTGCAGGCAACACGGTAGTGATAAAAGCTAGAGTCCATCAATTGAGAAACTATTACAATACATCCTTGAATGTCAAGTCTCTACCAACACTTGGAAAATTCCCCCCAAATTTCCCTCAAGTAACCTGTCAGCTTTGCAGCATCTTTTCTGTAGTGTATGGCCATCTTTATTCCTTTACTTAGAAATTGCTCACAAAAAAAGTAATTTTTTCTTAAAAGTATTTCTCTAAAAATAGGAACTAAATCTAGGTTGTGGAAAAATGGTTTTTGACATCTAGCTATAAGTTATTTAAGATAGTCTGTATGTTTTAAAATCATAAACAAATCCAGTTAAAGCAAAAAACCCACAAAAATGTAGATGTCCTCTTTGTCTACCCTTCCATACGTACACAAAATCAATTCTAGCCTCAAAAAAAAAATACCCTATGTAATTATCATATGACCCACAATCACACTCCTGGGCATTTATCCCAGGAAAATGAAAACTTGTGTTCACACAAAAATCTGCACACTAATGTTTACAGCAGTATTATCTGTAATAGTGAAAAGCCAGAAACAACCCTGAAATCCCAACTGGCGAATGGTTAAACAAACTGTGGACAACCATACCATGGAATACCACCCAACAATAAAAAGCACAGACTACTGTATCAACGGATATAGCTGAATCTCCAGAAAATTGTGCTGAGTGAGAAAAGCCAATTGCCAAAGGTTACATACTGTATGATTTCATTTATGTAACATTCTTGAAAAGACAAACTGATAGAAATGGAGGACAGTCTAGCGGCTGCAAAGGTTAAGGGGGAGAGCCGGAGGGAAGCAGGCTGTGATACTGCATTAGATACTGCACCTACTAGGGGAAACCGGGTGAAGGGTACAGTGGACCTCTCCATTATTTATTATAACTGCATGTAAAACCTATAATTATCTCAAAATATAAAATTTAATTTAAAAAAAAAAGGTATGCTGTAGCCTAATACATTTACCTTACCGTATGGAGATCTGAGCTTATGGATTTCTCATAGCACTTTCTCTGTAAAAACTATAGAAGTAGATGAAGTAGAAAGTGGGTCATTTACAAAACAGTCACTCACAGCAGTTTCTTCAAGTGTCATCAGCATCTGTGAATCCCCCCAGTTCCCTCACTGGGGGCTAACTCTGGTCAGACATACCCCTTGCCAGTGTTCACACCACAGAAGCCCGAGGCCTGCCTGCCACAGAGGAATCCTCCCGTTTTCCTACAGCCGCCACAAAGGCCACAGCAAGGAATTTCCCAGTGGCAAGGCAAACCATCATTATTCAGTCTACCCAAATGTAAGAACTCTGTGGAAGATTAGATGTCAACCTTCTTTACATAAACCAAATGTTCAAATGCATAACAAATGCTCTGCCAGTTAAGATGATTCTCTCCTTGTATCTGAGTTGAGCTAATAGGTTTTTTGAGGAGAAAATGTTCTATTCCAGAGGGACTAATATAGAGAATTAAAATATATATACAGATACCTTTCAAGTCTTTTTTCCCCCGTAAATATAATAGAATCACATTAGAAAGTGACTTTAAACCAATTCTAATAATATCAGACTGCCAGAAGAATTGCTATGATAGAGAAAGGGATTTTTTTTTTTGGAACTCTCTTTTTCAGATATAAACATTCACTCAATGCAATAATAACATTTTAGAAAAAAGTCAACATATAGAATTGATTTTACTTTTTCTATACTTTGATTAAAACAGAAAATGTTTGGTAATACACTACAATGCTAAGCATTTTAAATAAAATTGGTGATCAAAACAATCTTCTGCATGACAACTGCGGATTTTAATTGGAAAAATATTGTAATCTATAAATAAGGGCATCCAAAACACATTTAAACCACACAAGCACCTGATTTTTCCTTGTCCTTTGCATCTAGAGTGAACAGACCACAGGAAATGTCAAAGACCGACAGCTGAATCTAAAAGAAAAAAAAAATCAATTTAGTTGTCATGATCATTGTCACCATCAATCCCTAATATGTTCTTATACTTCACTGACCTCACTTAACTTTGCCCTGCTGCTTTATGCTTGGGAGAGGACAAATCACTAATCAATTATGTACACTAATTAAAAATGCTACCTTTCGGAGCCATTTTAATACCTTAGGAATAGGGGTGAGTATTTCCTCTAACTGCTTACTTCTAAACATTTTCGATAACATATTAGCCAGGATGCAGTGAACATTTGCAAACACTTAATGCTACAGTCTACATAAACTATCAAATTGCCCCCCAAAAGTAGCGGTGCAATTCTGGAACTGGTTGAGGTCACATGGAAAATAGAATTATATGCTAATTTGTTCCTATATTAAGTTATCATAGAGGGTCAGGCCAAACAGTAAAATGAATTCTGGAAAAAAAATTAGATTGGTATGTACCGTATCAAAGTAAACTGTTTATCTTAATAGATACAAATACAAGAAAGATTTTTAAAATGGGGGCATTTACTCCTTTTCAAAAAAATAAATGTGTCCACCAACCCCAAGCAGTGACTTGCATGATTTAAAAACACTTTATCTAAATAGTTTTTCCGTAAAGGAGAACAAGGGCAGGATTTTTTTTTCAAGAGGAGAAAAGAAATGGAAAAGGGCGTAGTATCCAAAAGAGAATAATTTCCCTAGAAAAAAACTTTACCTACGTATTTATTGAATTTCATTCACATAAATATTTCTGCACATGTACTGTAAAATGAACAGACAGCTTTAAACTAGATGATGAGCTCAGGAGGTGCTCACCATAATACATTTATTATTTTACTTCAAAATAAACTAAACAACAATACAGATGTTTTACTTAGAATAGATTTGTCTGATGAAAATACACTTTGCCTTAAAAAAACAATTAAGGAAAAAAAAATCTATATTCATTTTTTTCTGGAAGGCATATCTATAGATAGGCCTTATCCATAGACAAGTTCTATGGATACAGTATCAACTTAGAAAACTATATTAAACCAAATTAATGGTTGAAGAATTTAGGCTACCAGTTTCATATATGATGACGATGTAACCTTTATATTTCTATTTTCAAAGCTCCTTTTATGGAAAAAAAGAAAGAATACGGTGGAGGGGTGAAGAGGAACTAAAATCTTACAGTATTTGAAACCATGGGACCAGTATTTTATAAAGCATCCAGTTTATTGCAGGACACAACTAAGATGAGTAAGATGAGTAACAGAGATCATCTGTGTCACACCCTCAGGCAAATTCCAGAGAAAATATAAAATGATAATTTTTTGTTCTAGAGTCTACCCTATTTTCCGTTAAAAGATATGCTTATATTTTTCATGTTATGGCAACATTTCTGATGCGATGCTACACAAGAAGCAGCACTCGCAAAGAGCCATCTGAATTTTCTTCAAATCCTGACTCAGTTTTACTTTTGCTTTCAATAAAATTTTATTACTATTGGTTATTATAAAATATGTTAGATTCCCATGGAATATCAGTTAGACATCTTCAAATACTTACTGTTCTATTACATGTAACCGGCACTGCCTGCCCTATTTCCCCCTTACCAAGTTAGACATGAGGATTCTTATTTAGGCATAAGATCGTCAGGCTCCTAAATGGACCATAAAATAAAGCTATATACTACTCTACTATCATTCTTCTTTGAAGGACCTAATGTATTGGGATCTTAATCCATAAAAAGTTGAGAATTACATTTTAAAAGGGAGGGAAAGCCTAACAAAAATGAAAACATGCACTGATGCCTAAAATATCAGGACTTAAGTAAATTAATCTTCATTCCCACTGAAAGCAATCTGATGTCCAGGGACTGGGAATTACTCTACCATAAAATACGGCACATTAAATACTACAATAACCCATCTGAAATGTCTTAAGATAATTATTATGTCACCTACAAGTGATTGTATACAGACTTATATTGTAATATTCAATACTGTGGGTTCTGATGAGAAATATGCCAAAATTGTAAAAATATTAAGTTGGCTGAAGATAAGAGCAAGCAAATCAGTAGCTATTCTATGACGAAAAGTAGGAGTGCAAATAAGATTTGCAAAAGAATCGATAAAAGCAAGGGCAAAATATTTGGACCCTGGTTATCACAAACAACACTATCATTCCTGATGGTTTGCATATAAAACTTCTTAATCTCTACCAGCAAGTTGAAAAGAATGAAAAGCTTCTTACAACCAGCTAAAAAGAAAGTCTTTACCATGCTCCTTGAAAAAGCTCATTTTCACATTACTCAGGCTTCATTATGCTAAATCAATATTCGTTTAGTCACTGGGGTTATTGACATATTTTAAAATAAAAGTATACCCTTCAGCTACTGCACTCATTACAGGTAATTTGTCTTGTCAGAGAGCAGGGAATATTATCCTAGTCTTTCAGGGGCTGACAGCCCATGGAAATACCTCCCCATGGTTACAACTGTAAATAATTTTAAGGTAAAATATTGAAAAATCAATGGCTGTTTCCTGCAATCTGTCACAAACAAATCAATCATAATCTGTACTGCCAGAGAGTATGATTTGAAGGAGATGGGAGCAGATGTAATTCTTGGCTGGAATCTCTCATTTCAAAATCACTTCACATAATGGTGTCATCATTTAAACACTTAACAGTCAGTGCAACTGCCACTGTAACATCTAGTTGGACAAAACCACAAGGAGGAGGAGGAGAAAATGCCATCACTATTATGCTAACAAACATTTAATTCAAACAGTTGCTGCATTAGTAAATTTCAGCTGAAAACAGTTTTACCTGCCCTCTTTTTCACAGTTTCAAATTAATCAAGGCTGCTTTTCTGTGTACTAATGCTCAATAAATTAGTCCATGACTCAAAATCTTACTCTCTAAAGCCCATATTCCTTTTATTTTAAAAGCCCCACTGTAAAGAACAAAATTTGGAATTAATAAATAAAACATTTGGAGTGTAGACTGTCCATAATCCTATCTATATAACAAAGACAAAAAAGTGTCATAGATGTCAAGATTATACTTTTAAAGAAGGTTTAAAGGTCTCAGTTGCCCTGATATTAAATTTTATACTTTCCTTCTATTAATAAATATTACGTATCAACTTTGTAATACTGTAGCACATTTTAGATGACCAGTAAGACCTAGTCCATTCAAAAATATCCTTGCATTCCATACACAAGCTATACCATAGGTTGCTATTTTAAAAGCTGGAGTAATAACCCAAGTATATGAAATCTAAAAGTTGGTCAAGGTCATAATATTGAGTTGTTCTGCAAGTGTGAACTGCTTTCCAAGTAATCACTTTGATATCATCATTTTTTTCCTAGGCTACATGTTATGTTAATGGCTTTCTCAGCTGCTTCCAACCTCTACCTAGGCATGAATAAAAGAATCTGAGATGGGTATATTTCCCCTTCCTGCTGTATTAACCTAAAACATCATTTGATTTAAAGATTAAAGAGTTTTTTTTCTGAAGGTTTTTGTTTTTATATGTAAACTAGCTCTTTAATGGAAGAAACTGGTTTTAACCACCACTACTGCTTACCAATTTCCTAATTATATAATTAGACACCATGAAGCCCTTTATTCTTCTATTAATATCCCTCCGTAGATAGAGTCCAGTGAGTAGATATTTTTTGATGACTAGAAAAGTGTATCATTTTTCTTAAAAAGGAAAAAAAATATATAAATACCACTACACAATTTAAGCCTGTGCAAACATTCTTAGACACAGTGATTCGTCGTTTACTCTGTTTTTAATTTAACTTGCACAGGCAACGTAGTAGGAAAAGACAGAAGCTTTTTCATATCGACACAAATTTTTCATTTTTGTTCTTCAAGAATCTTTGATTCACTCTTTAACACCAACATTACATTTTTTGAGAATGAAAAGGCATGCAGGGGAATTATCAAAGATCTCATCCGGAATAAAACAGAGTCCTCCATCCCATGTGAATCCTGCAACAGCTGCAAAGAAAGCAGCAGCCAACGTAGTGAGAGGAGAAGGAAAGGATTACCCGTAGCCTAGGATTGCACAAAACATGGAAAGGGACCTAGAGCTGACCACGAGGAAAGGAACCCACGTACGGGAGCTAGAGCAGCCCAGGCTGGGCCGGGCGAGCTCGCTGGCAGGGCTCTGGAACCAGCTGTCAACCGGCAAGTCTCCCGCTCAGAGCTGGGGGGACCGCCCCGCAGAGAGAGGGCAATGAAACCTGGGAGGTCAACGAGGACAGCTAAGCAATGTGCTCAATGCATGCACATCAACCACAAACTAAAATGACATCTACTAGAACAGAGCAGGCCACCATCACAGATCTCATTCTCAGAAAGACGCTATTTTAAGGGTGCTGAGTATGCCTAGATGAGATTTCTCAGCTCTCCCAGCACAGCCCAGAGCCCTGGGAGAAGCAGCTCAAAAACTCAGCACAGGAAAATCAGATCGTTTCCACACCCCAAATTTAAAGAAACTGCTGTCTACTAGATAAAGTTCTTATATGTAATAAAGGCGCAGGATTACAGAGGAAAGTATTCTTTTAGAAGAGATAATATTACCTCTCTATCTTCAGAATCGCCTCCTTCCAAAGCCAGCACAGTAGCTCCATTATGAACTGCAGATTCTTAAAGAGAAAAACAGCAAGAGTTAGCTTCATCTTTCCTACTGCTTCCTTCCTGCATTGAATTACAATTTAATTACCAATACTTCCATTGATTTTATTCCTGAATGATATGTTTCTCAAAAAGCTTACTGTAGCCATTTCCACTAGAGAACATTTAGTAAAACCTTCTCAATTAATCAACCATAACCTATTACTGTTGAAAGGACATGCTTTCTTCATATTTTCAAGAGCAGGGAACCCCCCGCCTATATCACACACACACCTATTTGATATAAAAGGAGTATTAGTTTTAATCCATTTGAATAAAAGTCATATGTAAGAAATAAATATGAATCTCAATAATAAATTGTGGCTGATAACAGATATAAAACTCAACCAATGTGCATATATGTTTAGATTTTTCTTATACTTATCCTTAGGAGAGGGAAAAAAAATCTAATCCTCCTGGCTTTTAAATTCAACAACTTTACATGTGGTTAAAAAACAAAAAGCAAAAACTAAGCTTAGAGGCAAACAAAGAGGGATTAGATTGTTCACTGCTTAACATTTTCTTCATATTTGTATGTTTTCTAAGTCACTGTAATGCTTCAGTTCTTGGTCATACATACTCCATAAGGCCCAATCAGTGATAGGGAACACAAGTGCATTACTTAAAAATAATTATGTATTACTTCATATAATGTTAAAAATCACCATAACGCCTTTGAAAGTATTCACAGAGAAGCATTTATTCTATGGCAGGCTGTACTAACTTGAGCTACTTTCTGTAGAATTAGCTTTTTTTTTGGAGGGGGTCATACAACCATCTTTTTTACTTAAGAAAATATTCATCATCACGAAATCCCTACTAGACAACACAAATATTCTGCACAATATATTTTTTCTCATAGCCTGTCTCATAAGTTTGTACTCAGCAGCCCCTATTTTGATGAAGAGTGACATTTTGTGCATACCTGTATATCTTTTGTCATTAAGAGTTTAGTACCCATGACTAGAGCTGATACTCCCACTAAATTTATTCTTAAAAGAACGAAGTAAGGAAAATAATCAAAAACTGGAATTTGGTATAAACATTTCCTTTAAATAATGATTCTATTTCTATAACATATCATAACCTTTGTTTTGCTTTTTATGAAAAGCACTGAGTTCAAAAATTTCACTAATCTCAAAAAATAAATTATTCAGTGTATTTCCATGAATCAAAAATTTTTCTATTTACTAAAACTTTGTTTAATGCATTGGTAAAATTTTAACAACCAAAGGCCTCAAGAGATACTCTCTACATTCTGTATGTAGTCCGTCCCTATTACCAATATAACTGCTTCAGTAAAACAAATGTGGACGCTATTTTGAGTTTACTCCATACACAAGCACAACTGTGCAGACACTCACTTGGGGGTGAGCGTGGGGATGCGCAAGGACAAATTTCAGGCAACATCTGGAGGAACCCCATAGTTCAGAAGTGAACTTAGTTGAAAATATCCAAATGTGTCATGGAAGCATCACACTTATAACCTGCATAGAGAACGGAAATGATTCCGTTTAAGGAAACACAGAAGACTAGTTAAATACTTTTGGGATATTAGATATGAATATCTAATCTAATTTTCTCCAAGGTATCACTCTATATTACTGCAAATAAACAAGGAAAGGCTGTATCAAGGTGTGGAATATCATTAGCCTGAGAAAAGGCTAGAAAAATGGATTACATAAATGATAACTGCAGGAGAAAATTATATTCTCTTCTCCTGAACAAATGTTAAGTGCATCCTTACTAATAAAGATTTAAACTTAAATTCCAATAGAATATACTGGTTTTCAGTTTTGAAGCATCTAAGTTAATTTGCCAAGCTAACCTGGTATGTAGGTATACTCTAGCTATAAAAATACTGTAGGTTTATGCAGAAATAAGTCATGAGTGTCACACTCCAGAGTAGTGCTGTGAAAGCAAACTGGAGGCATTACTGAACAAGAAAAAAATAATTGCAAGATTTTACATCTTCTTAGAGTTGTATCAGCTGCTATTGTATTAAGATAATTATTCTCTATGAAACAGCTAACAATTATACCAGAAAGATGTTAAAGCTACAGGAGTCGTCCACACAATGTTGACATTGAAGGGAAATACACAAAGATACTGAGATATTACCACACAAAACAGGCTGTGCTATCTCAAGAGTTAAAACGTTACTCCAAATATGATACTGTTTTCATAATCCACTTTAAAGAACATGTTTAATTCACTAAGGATTACATGATTTCATTTACTTGCACGTTATCAACCGAAGAACACTGAAATTTTCCCTAAGATTTCTATAATTAGAAATATATTAATAATTATTTAGTGTTATTCATTAAAACAGATGATAGGTAATTAGTTCATATTCCTATTTCATTTCTTTTAATACAGCATATCGAATTTGAAAGTAATATATGGATAATAGCACAAGGATGCTGATCTTAGCTGCCAGAAAAAAATGTTTTTGATAGGGGTGTTGGGAGGGTAAGCAAAGCAATTATCTGAAAATTAATGCTCTTGTTTTACTTTCAGCAAATGAATCTAAATAAGTCATTCTCTGATTTTAGTTTACCATGTAATTCTAGCCAGCTAATTATCCCTGGAGTCAGGAATGAGCTGTGACTCTACACCTGGCCTCTCCGATCAGACGCCTATGGCCTCCTCCACTTTCATTTCCTCTTTCTACAGTGAGTTTTAATATTAAAGAAAAACACTCACACATCTTATATACACACTGATGGACAGCCAGCTTCCAGGAAATCATGAGCTACAAAGAGAGGGGGGTAATCTTAATGCAATACTTATGTTGAAGGGTATTAGGTGCTGGGTAAACCAAGCATCCGTTCTGCTATTGTTTTTGCATTCAGAGATTTGAAGTAAAGGACAGTAGTATTATTTTAGTAGTCACCCAGGTTATGAATCAGATCCTTAAACTAAGAAGAGTTTAAATGCACTATCTTCACTTGTTCATCAGTTCAAATTTACAGAACCCTATTTTGGAAGAAATAAAACCGTTTTCCTTTATTTCTGGCAATAAAAAAGAGGCATTTCATAAACAATGTAGCTAAGTACTTGATGATAAGAAAAAAGAAATTGTTTCAGGTCATTAAAACGTTCTAGGAGACTGTTTTCCAAAAACTGAAGGGGCATACATTTCTTCTATATTTACCTTTTTATTATATTCCTGGTTCCTGCACATTAAGCACGCCTTCCTCTACAGATTTTTTCTGAACACCAACCGTTTGCTTAAGAATATACTACTCTATTTATGCTTTTCTTTCTAAAACAGGAACCATTATTCCACAAAGATAGAGCACAAAGAAAGCTGACAAAGGCATTGCCAAAAAGCCACAAGTAGTATTAATACATGCCAGAACACTTAGCACTGAACTCTCATTTCTCTCTAAAACTTCTGCTGCCAAAGGGCTCACAAAATCTGGAAGCTCCAAGACAGGTTTCTAGTGCAATTAAATTCTCCAAAAGCAAAACTGTACAAAAATATGCCGCCCTTCTTATGTCACCATTTTATAGACATTTTCTCAGGATCTTAATTAAGATAACGATGCACACCTGTGTCAACATTCTCTGGCAAGACAGCCTTATCAATCATAATCCTTTAAGTACACTCCAAAACAGCAAAGCGATATGACAGAAGCAATCTGTTGCCTTTCCTAGCGTCAGTGTTGTCTCTCTCCTACAAGAATGATGAGAGCTTTAAAATACAGCAGATCTACTTTTATGAGTCTTTAAAGTTTTAACTGTAAACAGTTATTACATTAAATAAACAGGCCTAACCTCTTTTGCACTTGATTTAAACAATGACAACTGTACAGCCAAAACTCGAAGAGCAAGCTCGACGCTCGTGTCTTAGCAATACAATTGTGGATCTTATTTTAAAGCTTTAAGTTTTAAGAGTTATGCCTAACAGGATCCGTGCAGACATGACAAACCAATAAACCCTTAGGAAGTTTTAAAATTAGAATTCTTAAACATTTTACGTTAAGAACAATCAGGGCATACCTATCCCTAGTGTAAGTTAAAATGTTCAGAAAGATACAAACGCAATAATAAGCCAAAAAGAAAGAGTCGTCTTGGTAACCTGGAACCAGAGGGAGCTAGCTTCCACCTCTGCTGGGGGAGAAAGCTTCAGTGACAAGGGACCAGTTAAACTACTGCTAAAAGTAAGCAGGCTCCCAAAAGGGAAAGCTGATGAATAAATGGGGCAATGGATGGGGGGGGGGGGACTTATCCGTATCGTCACTACTACCAAGACAAAAAGTTAAACCCCGTGGCTACCAGAAAAAACGTGAAAGCTTTCACATGAAAACGGAGAAAATCCGCCTGATGCTATCTGAATCCTGTCTGCCTGCTAATGATCAGCTCTTCCCTTCCACATATTAACACAAGTCTATCTCAGACGCCGGGCGGCCCGTGGCCAGCCGAGCAGCAGAGCCATCAATGTGCAAATAAAGCAGAAAATAGAGACATCCTTAAGAAATGAGTCTTAAATTTGACGTAGAGCGGAGGTGACAACCACAGCAACAGAACCATAAACTCTAAATGCTTCAATATCTTTCAGGATTCTCTCCAGTCCTTGACACCAAAAAGGCAGTAGAAGAAAACGGGGGTGGGGGGGAGGTTAAGTGTAGTGGGGGGATAGCTTAGCGGCCCAGAGTGGCAGGATGATGTAATGAGGATGTCTGTGTGACAGACTCAGATTCTCGGTGGCACAAACCTCCAAGGCTCCACTTCAGAAATCAGCATCCTGGACGCGAGCTGAGGGGGTGAAGCTGCCGCGCGTGGATGGAGGGGACACGCCCACGCGCGCCCTCCCGGGGACCGTCACATCAGGAGAAGCCCGCCCAACATTCACGCGGCCCTTGCCCACCGGGCGCCCGGGGGTGCGCGGGGCACGGCCGCGTCCATCCGGTCCTCCAGAGGACGCTTGACGCCGCTCGAAGGGCAGGAAGCCGTCGCGAAGGGCGGGTACGCGGTGGCACGGGGAACCCGAGGCCTCGACCTCTCCTCCGCGGCGCGGGCGCGCGGCCGCGGACCTGAGACTGCCAAGG